GGCCGACGATACGAGGCACGTGCATCCCTTTTTTTTTTCTAAAGGCATCCCTTTTTTTTTATGAGAAAATTCTAGATATAGAAGACTTTTTTTAAGAATTGATTTTTATACTTTTTACTTAAAATTTTATTATACTTTGGTACGTATTCGTATATATAAAATATTGGTGAGTAGATCCGCGTAATCTCTCTTTTGATTATATAATATATATATATATATATATATATATATATATATATATATATATATATATATATATATATATATATATATATATATATATATATATATATATATATATATATATATATATATATATATATATATATATATATATATATGTATATATATATATATATATATATATATATATATATATTTTGATTATATAATTATATATTATTGTTGTTACCTTAGTTAAATACTTGTTTAAACTTATTTAAGGTATTGACGACAAGACCCGTCGATATTCTTCCAGATAATTTTTATAATTTCAGATTAATCTTGTTTTATAGTTGTTATATCGTTTATCAAAAAATTGTGAAAGTTTATTATTTTTATTTTTGGTACTACCGTAAAATCGCCTAATTAGGTGATTATACGGTATTACCAAAAATAACTTTGCTAAGTTAGGTCGAACTTCTAAAATCGGAACTAAAATCGGTTGAACTTAGCTAAGTTTGGTCACCATGTAACTTCGGTCATTTCAGAAAGAATATAAAAAAGCATGCAAAATTCAAATTTTAGAAACTTTTTTTTCTCAAATAATATTTGTAATTAGTTCGTAAATATAAATCTATAAAAAAAAAAAATAATAATAATGTTTATATGCAACCTGTTAAAATAATTTTTTAGCAAACAACAATTTGGAAAAATGCATACTGTAAAAATCTAAAATAAGCAAACTATTAAAATAAATGATCAAAATTAATCTTAGTATTATTAAGAATCAACAAATTAATTATATTTACAAAAAAAATATTAATTTTTGAAAATTAACTACTTTTTTTGTAAAATTATTGAAGTTTTGAATGCTTTAACTTCGGTTATTCACGGATAAACAACGAAGGAGACAATTAGCAGTAATATTGTGAAATGTTGATAAGTGTTGCGAATGCAAAATTTACCGGTTACTTTACCTGTAAATTTACCAGTAAATTTAGACATTTTAAAAATAGATACACACCACCGTATTTTATTTGAATAAAAAATTTGTTTATAATTTTAAAATTAAATGACGGTTCTTGAGATCCAAAAAATGTCAAGCTTGTGACATTTTTTTTTGGAGATAAAATTACAGCTCACCGACAATTATGGATGCGATGCGAATCCTGTGGAGATTGGTCGTGTGGCTGTGTTGTACTATAGTCAACGATAGGTGCAAGAAATGTCAATAAACATACAAAGCTCATTTAAAGCAAAATAGTGGTTTTTTGTTGATTGAAAAAACTTTTTTAAATTAATTAAAAAATATATTTTAAACTTAATTAACCAGTGGCGGAGCAAAATGTGATAATGGCGAAAGTAATAAAATAGTTGACTAATTATTAAAAATGCTACCACTTATATTTAAAAAGACCTTTTTTTATGTGCTCCTTTTGTTTTCTTTGGTGCCCTAAAAGATTTTTTTTTTCGAGCCCGGGACGATGCCATCCTTGTTATTGGTATTACCTAATTTATTATAATTTTACAATAAAACAACATTTAAAAATTAGTTTTCATTATTTGTGACGTTAAGTTTGTGATAGGTTATTAGTATTTATATATTGGCCGAACTAATGAAATGGTATTGAAAGTTCGGTCAAAGTAGATGTTTTCGTTTTAAACAAAATATTGAGAACTAGTTTCTATTTTTCATTTTTTTGCAATAACACTTATCAATATAATTTTTTGTATGTTTCAGGAAAAAAAATTGAATTTTTTTTATTTATGCGCGATAAATAAATGTTCAAAGTTTAGCGTGACCAAACTTAGGCGATTTTACGGTATATGATTGTAATACGACCAACAACTGTAAAAAAAAAGAAAAAAAAAAAGAATCGAACGTTTTTACATATAAAAAACTAATATTGCTAACATAATTGCTTGTCTGGATAAGGGGCTATCCCCCCATAAAATTTCAAAATTTTCAATTTTTTTTTTTTTTTAATTTTAACTCTTTCAAACTATGCAGAATTATAAAATTTGTTTTGGATGTATCAGATTAATCTTTAACTATCTTAAATTGTCTATTCAAGTTAACCACCTCTTAAGTAATTTCCTTAGCAACGCCATAGCAACGCACTTAAACAATTTTATACACCATACTTTTACCTTAATTTCATCCAAAATAGTGTTACACTTGCAATGCATAAGCTTGAACAACTTCTTGATGCGTTTTTCTAGAATTTACCAATACCTTGGTACATCAAGTACGACAATATTCTTCAGTTCAGTCAGTTCTTGAGATTTTATTAGGTTAATTTAATTAGTAAAAATGGGAAAGGCTTGTCGAGTTTAGAAATGTACACAAACTCATAAAAAAAGGAAAAGTTTTATGGGAAATGTTCAAAATTCTGTTAATACTGTTATTGTATCTGATAGTACTAATATCGAATTGCCGACAATAAATCCAAGTGCCCCTAACATCACTTGTGTTACTGAACCAATTTTTGAAAATCCACCTAATTTATCAGCTTCAGCTCATAAAATCAAAAACTTAAAAGATACAATTATTTCAAAACCTGCCATATCTGGTTATTGTATAATTTATGTTGCTGTTTTAATGTCTATTTTAAGTTCTGTTTTGTGTCCAGAGTGTGGTTGTTCAACAATCTCACTAAGTGAGAGATATACTCAACGACGAGGTTTATCTTCCTTACTATATCTTAAGTGTATGAAAAGAGCTTGTAACCATTTTCAAAAGTTTTACACTTCTAACTATGACAAATATAAAAGGATTTGATATCAATAAACAAATAATTTATTGTATGCGATTATTGGGTCATGGATATGCAGGCATCAAAAAATTTTGTACCATTATGAATCTACCTAAGCCAATGACCAAAAACAATTTTGAAAAACTGATAAAAGTAATTTCAAAAGCTGTTAAAACTGTAGCAGAACGAACAATGTTAAATGTTGCTAATAAATTGCAAAATACAGCTTTGAAAGTAACCGATATTTGTTTATCTTGCGATGGAACATGGCAAAAATGAGGATACTCATCACTCAACGGAGTCTTTTCTGCCATCTCTACTGCTAGTGGCAAAATTTTAGATGTTGAAATCATGTCCAGATATTGTAAAAATTGTAATTTAACACAAAGCCTCCAAAAATCTGATCCAACTGGTGTTGGCATCACTATTTCATGTTGCTTCCTTAAAAAATAATAGCTTACATTTCCCACACTGCTTCACTGGTGCTATCAGCTGGTGCAAATACAATGCCAATAAAATAAATAAGACATCAACCTATAAGCTGGAACCAGGTTTACCAATGGATGTCATAATGAAAGTAAGAACTATATTTAAGGATTTAAGGAAAGACATTGAGTTACAAAAATGTTTGCACGGTAAGACACAAAATGCCAATGAGTCTTTTTATGGAATGATTTGGAAGCGTATATTAAAACAAACATTTGTATCACTTACCCAATTAACAATTGGTGTATATGATGCTGTTGCCAATTTTAATATTGGAGCAAAAGCATCTATTGATATTTTGAAGCAACTGGACATGGAACCAGGCTTTCATATGATTGCAGGATGCAAATCATTAAATAATGAAAGATTACAAAAAGCAGAAATTAGAATGAACCCTGTTAAAAAGTTAAGAAGGCAAGTATTACGTGCCAAGAAACTGAAGAAGAATGAGAAAATAAATGAAAAAGAAGGTGACTTGTATGTTCTTGGTGGATTTTGAAAACTTTGTTTATTTTTCAACAGTTTTTATGAAAGAAATTGTATTATTTTTTAAAATTTTAACTTAAATTGTCTTTTTCTCAAAATAGAAATTTGTGCACGCCGGCCAAATTATCTGGAGAACTGTATTACATTTTTATATGAAATTTTCAGGAAGTGTTTATCATATTATACTCTGTGAAATGAATGGAATGGAATTTATTTATTTTATTAAAAATATATATATATGACCTAAAATCGATGAAAATTTTGACCATGATCTTTGATTGCGCCATTTTGATGATGGCAAAATGTTATGAAAAATCCGATCCATTCATTTCACAGCCCTACTTTATTATAATATTGTATTAAAATTTTAAAAGGTAAATATGTACACATATTCTTATATTTTGGCCAGCGTGAAGATATTTTTTGGTCATTTTAGGGGTATTTTTTGGTTACCAAGGAAACCACCAATTTTTTTTTTAAAAAGGTTTATATTTTACTAAAACCTAGAAACCAATAACATTTTTTTTTTAAATACTTAGATTTAAAAACAGAGGGGGGTAGCCCCTTAAGGGTGAGAACTGTAGAAAGTGTCTGGCTATCGAAGTAACATTTAATAGTTACACGTGTAACCGGTGATTTTAACACCAATTGTTTTATAGTGCGGAGATATTTTATGGTGCGCTTATTTACCTGTGCGTAAAAGAATTTCCTCTGTGTGTGTGTGCGCGTGTAGTTAAACACACAAAAACATGTTCTTTATGATCCTTACATTTTTATCGCATAGTACAACGGAAGAGCATATAACTGAAAAGTTCACGCATTCATCATTGCTAATGTCGCTCATCTCGCGAAAAGCAATATCGAACCTCGGACCTCTTTATCACGAGCAAGAACAATAACTGCGCTACGGCTGCTTAATTTTAACTTGCCAGGAGTAAGTGATACATAAAAAATATAAATATACACGCTTGAACGTGTCTTTAAAAATGCATTTAACTGTTTACAAAAAAGTATTTACATATAAGCTACATTGTACAAAAACTAAAATCGTAGTTATGGAAACCGTAATTATGGTTGAAACTATCTCAAATACACTCCATAACATAAACATGCTGTTAATTTTTTTTTTCTTCCTCAAAACATTAAAAAACTACATGTTTTATAAAATTTTATTAATATCATTTCTTAAAATTATACTTGTTAAGTTGTAGTTATTAGGCCATGATAGTAGAAATTCAGCTTGAAGGCCCCACAATACAGATAACATATAATTACAGACAGATAAATCTTTTGATACTTCTTAATTTGGAATTAAAACAGGAAGAATTAGATTTCGTTTCGGAATCAAAACAGGAAAAAGATATTGTTTCGGCAGTTTCGTCGTCACGATCATATACTTTTTTTTGGTTTAAGGAAACTTCGGCGCAAACGCGAGAGCATGTATACACTGCAACAGGAACATAACTGCAGTTTACAAACGTTTGATATTTATAGATATACATAAAATCTAAATAAAATATTTATTGTAGTCTTTAACACATAAAAAATAATAAATGATTATAATCTATAAAACGAAAAAAAAACCTACAAGAAATAAAAGATAAAACAAAAGATATTACAAAAATAAAACTTAGGGTAAACAAAAAGAATATTTCATGAATATATAATGTGTTTTATGTTATATTTATTGACGTAGTTCTGTTATTATAATGGTCAAAATAGATTACTTACAGGAATGGTATAAATATTAAACTTTATGTTCATACAATGTGAAAAATGTTTTTTTAAAAAAAGGGAAAACGAATTAAATTTAAAAAAAAAGAAAAGGCTAAATCAAAATTTATCAATAAATTCAAGATTATTAATAAGATATTAGCCTTTAAAATTTATATTATATATTTCAAATATATTTAAAAAATTTGAAGAAAAAAATTATACAGGAGCCATAAGTTAAAAAGGCTCAAGCACCAGCTTTATTTAATTTGTTTTTCTAGCAAATTTACAAACTCTCAAAATCAGAGGGCTGGTAACTTCTGACTGATAACACAGCCATATTTTTTATAAATGGCTATAATTTTAAATAATTTTAAATAAAATTTTAATTTTGTTGATGAATTTTGATCTAGTTAAAATTTAAGTGTGTGTGTGTATATATATATAATATATATATATATATATATATATATATATATATATATATATATATATATATATATATATATATATATATATATATATATATATATATATACAGTTAACTCTCCTATAACGCGGTATTACAACAATTCGAATCTCTATATAACGCAGAGTGAAAATTTAAACTGCTTCTTGATAACGCATGATGTGTGATCTCCATATAACGTGATTTTCGTAAGAACTTTCAAACACATTATTTACGCTACTTACGTTATTTACGCGAAAAAGAAAATGTAAATCATTTGCCAAGTAGTGCTCCAAGTAACAATTTTTTTAAAAATTAGGAAAAAAAAAATTAGGAAGAAAGAAAATATCTGATTTTATATGTCGCTTTATAAGGTTTGTGTTTGTGTTTTATAATTCATATTTGACGTTTTTCTCTGTATACATTTAAAGGTTATTTCTCTTTTTCTCAATTGGGATTACGTATTAACCCTATTTTTGTCCACAGAATCCATATGGACCATGACTTAAATTCACTGATGAAACAAAATCTGTTTTAAACTTCACTTATAGCTTAAAAAAAGGGCTGAATGAATAATATTGAATAAAATGAAAATTTTAAAAGAGAATTTTAAAAATTGCTTAGCTCCATACAAAGAGGTTTTGAAAGAACTACAAAATAAAACTACTTTTGAAAACCATATAATATAAACCATATAAAGATGGATTAGACAGGTAATATTTGACACCAATGACAAATAAGAACAGAATTTACAATGCATTAATTTAATTCTTTGTTGGAAACAATTTTTTTTTAAAACACTTTTTAATTTTCTGAAATTAATAATTTACAATATGCAATAAAATTAGATTAAGTTTATTTGTGCACAATTTATTTATTTCTTAAAAAAAATAATTTATTAATAAGATTCTATGAAATGTGGTACAATTCGATTGAATTTATATTACTTCTATGTTTCTTATAACATAACAGAAGTTTCCATATAACGTGATTTAAATGATATATTTCTGTGTTTCTCGTAATGTGGTCATTAACAAATGCATTTACCAAATTGAGTTCTTTTAACACGATTTCCATACAACGCTCTACTAATTAATCGCACTATAGGAGAATTGACTGTATATGTATGCATGTATGTATGTTTATATGTATGTATGTATGTATGTATGTATGTATGTATGTAGGTATGTATGTATGTATGTATGTATGTATGTATGTATGTATGTATGTATGTATGTATGAATATATATGTATGTATGTATGTATGAATATGTATGAATATGTATGTATGTATGTATGTATGTATGTATGTATGTATGTATGTATGTATGTATGTATGTATGTATGTATGTATTTATGTATGCACGCATGTATGTATGTATGTATGTATGTATGTATGTATGTATGTATGTATGTATGTATGTATGTATGTATTTATGTATGTATGTATGCATGTATGCATGTATGTATGTATGTATATATATATGTATGTATGTATGTATGTATGTATGTATGTATGTATGTATGTATGTATGTATGTATGTATGTATGTATGTATGTATGTATGTATGTATGTATGTATGTATATATATATATATATATATATATATATATATATATATATATATATATATATATACTTCTTTATGTAACCAATATCACAATTAGCCTCTTTTTTAATCATTTAAATCATATTAGATTTTTCTCTACAGATATATATTAGGAACATTTAACTAATAACTAAATAAATTCATGACTTACAACTCTCTTCATGTAGAATGAATTTATGACAGTTACTGCAAATACCATTTATAAGTTTTAAAGCGTCATGATGCAGGTGAACAGGAAAAGATTGTAAAAAATCTTTCAAGTCATAATTATTAACTTGTCTAAGAATAGATTTCAAAGACATTAAATATAACGTCTCACAGTTAAAAACTAATTTGTTATATGGAATTTCTTCAATAAAGTTGAAATTGCTGAAATCAAAACGGTTATGAAACCGGTAGAGTTTGTTAATGCAAGGAAATTGTAAAATAAATTCTGGTAAACAAGTAAAAGAATTATATTCTATTAACAGCTCTTCTAATTTTTCACACATTGTTAGGGCAAAAGGCAATCTTTTCAAGTCATTGTGTCGTAAATTTAAAACTTTTAGATGTTTCATGTAACCAATATCATAAGGAACAAAACTCAATTTTTCATAAATATTCTTTCCTAAACTACACTCGACCATCTCTAAACGCTCTACCTGTGGCAAATACCAAATCTAAAAAAACATAATTTAAATTAAATAATTTAATTTATTAAACAGATTGAAAAAAATCATTTAAAAAAAAATAAATGTTTCTAGTTGGCATTTTAAAATTTTATTGCTGCACTTAGTTAGCTACATACCATAATTGAAAAAAAAATAAAATAAAATAAAGAGTTTCCTTGGTGAACTGAGCTATACGTTTCATATCTGATCTCACATGTGAATTAAACTAACACCTGACTTACTGTTAACAATACTTAAAGTTATTTCTATAATTTACAGTCATTTTCTTAGTTTTAATTCATTCTGAGGGTTATTGTTGCTTATTTTAATTGTTGTTTCTTAAATAATGATACAGGATGTTCAAATGGCCAGCAGTCTGAAAATGCATAATAAAAATTTGTAAATAAAAAAAAAATAACTTATAAGCTATTGAATTTTATAATCCACCATTGCAACATATAACTTTTATTTCCTAATTCTAAAATATTACTCTTTCATTTAAACATAGCAAAACCAAAATACCAAAGTAAACAACACAAGTATTTACTGCATCATTCTAACATAGTTAACAGACTCAACCGAAAACTCAGAATTTTGCATAACATTTTAAAGTTAACATTTTAAACATTTTAAAAGTTGAAATTGTGACATTCACATGATATTGATCTTGCACAACATAAAAGTATCTAGGTCAGGTCAGGTTTTCCTGCTACTGGTAACATGTAACCCAGTACAACCTGCTCCATGTCCTGCTGCCTTGTAGGATACGCTTTTTTAGGCAAAGGCTAGGAGAAGTTAACTCCGAATTAAAACACCCCCTGCCTTGGGGCTCTTGGTTGAGTAAAGGCTAGAGATGGTGTCTCGATAAAAATACTCATCTTGGGCAGATGTTACATGCATCCAGCTGCTGTCTTGTAGAAGGCCTCCTAGGCAAAGACTTAAGGGGTAAACAGATTCTATCTGTTGACCAGCCTCGCACCCCTTCCTCATCTATTAGGCTGGCGCAGATGTATTTTTAATACATTGTTTCCAGTTTAGGATGTTGAACGCTGGATCTTCTTGACTCAATGCGTGGGTATTGCTTGTGTCTCTATTTTTATGACTGGGCAACTCATTCTATTATCTCCTAATGAGGGTACAGCTCTAAAACTCAGTTTTATGGTTCAGAGGCCGGCTGGTAGTCAGGTTTCCCGAACTCTGTGGTAGCTCTCAGAGAGGCTGATTCCATCAACAGCCGAAAAATATCAGAGTACTAACAGTGCCATGTTGCGCATGGATGGTGTCCCTGTTTGTACTTTTGGTGTGCATTGCAGAGGCCACATTTGGAGCCCTTTGTTACAGCTTAGGGTTTATTAATAGTAATGAGGCTATTGCTTAGTTGTTAAATAGTGTACTGAGTACTATCTATACTTGAGTCAAGTTCTTTATAAATTGAAAATGACTAAAGTACCTAAAACTAAAAAACACAAAAAACCATCGTCATCACCAAGTTCTCTAAACCTATCATTTACTAATATTCGTGGTCTTCGAAGTAACTTTTCTTCTGTTGAGTCTTATCTCTTGCAAAGTTCACCAGACCTACTTGCTCTTTGTGAGACTAATTTGAGTTCGGCTGTTCCATCTTGTGATCTTAGTGTTGATGGTTATCTTCCTTTAATTCGTAAAGACTCCAATAATCACATGCTTGGCCTGGGCATCTACATTCGTAAGAACTCACTCATTTGTCGTGAAACTAGGTTTGAATCTACAGACTATTCATTTATGTGCTTTCGTTTAGCACAACTTCACTCTATCGCCTTTCTCTTTGTTCTATATCGCTCTCCTTCATCCCAAGATTGCACTATTCTTGATGTTATTTCTGATCAAATTGACCAAGCCCTCTCTCTTTATCCATCGGCCAATATCGTCGTTGTTGGTGACTTTAATGCCCATCACACCGATTGGCTTGGCTCTAGTGTCAATGACTCTGCTGGCGTTAAGGCCCTCAACTTTTGCCTTTCTCAATCTCTAACTCAAATAGTCAACTTTCCAACTCGTTTTCCAGACAACCCTAATCATTTACCTTCTCTACTCGACTTATGTCTTGTTTTGGATCCTAGTCAGTGCTCAATTTCTCCACATTCACCCTTAGGTACTTCTGATCACGGTTTGATCTCTCTAAAACTATTATCAAATTCTTCTACTTCATCAGAATCCCCCTATCATCGTACCACATACAACTACCTTAAAGCTGACTGGGACTCTTTCCGTGATTTTCTTCGTGATGGCCCTTGGGTAGAAATCTTTCGTCTTCCTGCTGACAAATGTGCTTCTTACATAACTTCGTGGATTCAGGCTGGCATGGAATCTTTTATTCCCTCTCGACGATTCCAGGTCAAGCCTCACTCTTCTCCTTGGTTTTCCTCACATTGCGCTGCAGCAATTTCTAATCGAAACCGTTACTTCCATATCTATCAGCAAAACAATTCTCCAGAAAACAGACATCTGTTCACTATCGCCAGAAACCATTGTAAAAAGGTTTTGTCTGACGCCAAAACTCGCTATTCCCAGGTCATTAAATCTCGTTTCTCATCACAAAAATTAGGCTCTCGAGACTTCTGGAGAATCTTTAACAGTATCAATAATAAGGGCAAATCTGTTATTCCTTCTCTCTTGTATGGTTCAGACTTTGTCACCTCACCTAAAGACAAAGCTGAATTGTTTGCTAAGAACTTTTCATCAATATCATCTCTTGATTCCACTAGTTGCGTTTTACCTGACATAGCCGTCAAACAGGTTGATCCCTTGCTTGACATTCGCATCACTTCGGCTTCTGTATCTAAAGTAATTTCCTGCTTAGACTCTTCAACAGCTTGTGGTCCTGACAACATTCCTGTTGTAGTCTTGCAGAGGTGTTCTCCGGAGCTTTCATCCATACTTTCTAAACTATTTAACAAGTGCTTATCAGAGTCTTGTTTTCCATCATGCTGGAAAGCAGCATCTGTTATCCCTATTTTCAAAAATTCCGGAGAGCGATTTGATTCATCTAACTACCGTCCCATTAGTCTTCTTCCTGTCATAAGCAAGGTTTTTGAATCTTTAATCAACAAACACTTAATCTCTCATCTTGAATCAAATAATTTACTTTCCGATCATCAATATGGATTTCGGTCTTCTCGTTCTACAGCTGATGTGCTAACAGTAATAACCGATAGGTTTTACCGTGCATTAGATAGAGGTGGAGAGGTTAAGGCTATCGCACTTGACATTTCTAAAGCTTTGATAAAGTTTGGCATACTGGTCTTCTCCATAAGCTTTCTTCTTATGGTGTAGCTGGTAACGTCTTTAAGATTATTGAGTCCTTTCTTTCCAATCGTAGTATAAAAGTTGTCCTCGATGGACAACACTCTTCTTCACATCCTGTAACTTCAGGGGTTCCTCAAGGTTCAATCCTTGGCCCTATTCTCTTTTTAATTTACATTAACAATCTTCCAGATATTCTCACATCTAAGGTGGCATTATTCGCTGACGACACTACCATTTACTCTTGTCATGATAAGAAGCCTACACTCTCTGATTGCTTGGAGGGGGTATCTGAGCTCGAAAAGGATCTCACTTCTGCTACAGCATGGGGCTCACAGTGGCTGGTGAACTTTAATTCAGATAAAACTCAATTTTATTCGGCCAATCGTTATCGTAATAATTTAGATCTTCCTATATTTATGAATGGTAATGTACTAGATGAGTCATCTACCATTCATCTTCTAGGATTAACTCTTACTTCTGATCTTTCTTTTAAACCGTATATCAAATCCATTGCAAAATTAGCATCTGCTAAGGTTGCATCTCTTTATCGAGCTCGACACTTTCTTACTCCAGATTCTATTCTCTATCTCTATAAATCTCAAATCCGTCCCTGTATGGAATACTGTTGCCACATCTGGGGCGGATCTTCTAATGATGCTCTTTCTCTTTTAGACAAGGTGCAAAAACGAATTGTAAACATAGTTGGACCTGCTCTGGCAGCCAATCTCCAACCTTTGTCACATTGTCGTAATGTTGCTTCTCTTTCTCTTTTCTACAAATACTATAATGGGCACTGCTCTAAAGAGCTAGCGTCCCTTGTGCCATCTACTAAAATTCATTCTCGTGTTACTCGCCATTCAATTAAGTCTCATCCTTTTTCTGTGACTGTTCCTAAGTGCTTCAAAAACTCTTATTCTTCTAGTTTTTTTCCTCGAACATCAGTTCTTTGGAATTCGCTTCCTTCATCTTGCTTTCCTGATTCATATAATTTGCAATCTTTTAAGTCATCAGTCAATCGTTATCTTGCTCTACAGATTTAGTCTTTTCTCTTCCAGTAACTTCCAACTCTTATAGTGGTTGCTTGCAGCCTTGTTGGAAGTGAAGATGTTAAAAAAAAAAAAAAAAAAAAAAAAAAAAGTATACAAAGACTGCAGAAGGAGATAACTATTTTTGTAGAAGCGAGTTTATAATGCTCTTAGAAATTTTTAAAATAATATGCTAAAATTAAAAAAAAAAAATGCTGAAATACTTGAAAATAAAATTTTTTAAATAAAATACTTAAAAAAAATTGAGGTTGACCAAAAATTGTTGAACTCATTTTTCCTAATTCCGAGGGTTGGTGTAAGGTTTGCGTAAGGATAGTTATTGACAGTAACAGTTAACAAATTTTTTTTTTGCATTTAGAAAATACATAATAAATTCAGTAGAAATCTTATCAATATTAATATTTATGTAAAAGATAAAAACATGATAATAAAATATTGTTCATTCAAAAAAAAAAAAAAAAAAAATTCAAGGATTTATTGCTAAAAAGGGTGCTTTTCCAGGAATTTTCCAGGACATTTCCAGGTTTTCAAAGACCGCTGGCCACCCTGAAGTACATGAAGTCATTGATTTTTTTGTTTGGGTGAGAGATCAAATATGTAAACAAACAAAAAAGTCAATGACCTTATGTACTAAAACTCTTTGTAATAAAGTATTTGAATAAATTATCAAGTCTGTAGATTGCGGCATATATTATGTTGACTTTTAGGCCTACAATAAAATGGGGAAGACAAAGCTTTGATGAAAATAAAAAAGTTAGTTTTTTTTGGTATTTATTTATTCTATTGGTTTAATCAAAAAAATTTAGCCCAAACATTTTTTATAATCATTCTCTTTAATATGAACAAAACATGTCTTGAAGGGATCCCTTTAAACAACTACTGGATACTTTTTTTGTGTGGTTATTAAGGTGCTCCCAGAAATCCTTATGATCTAATCACAGAGCACTTTGGAAAAGGATTAAACTAGGAATTTCATCCCTCCTTCCATGTCGCTTATTAATCTAAAGCCAGCTTTAAACCTCCAACCTCTTGGTTCTGAGCCATAACTTTAACCACTGAGCAAGGGCTGCGATCACTTCACTGCTATTAAACAGGAGTGTTCTAACAATTAGAACTAAGTATAAAACTAAATTGACTTACAGAGGATATGCATGATTTAATAGTTTCTTTAAAGAGACGAACATCAACAAACCATCTGTTAGGCCAACCCCACTTGTTAACTGTTTCTATAATAAAAATAATAGTTTTGTCAGATATTTAAAAAAGCATTAAAAAAATAAATCCTAAAATAAAATTAAAAAAAAAAACTATTGCTGTTTATCTTTCAATGATAGATTTTAAAAAAACCAACAAACCTTTTTTAAATAGTTTTTTTTTTATACAGCAGACTGAATTTTCTTGATAAAAAAAAAACTTTATATCACAACTCATTGCATGAACTCTTAAAACATCTTGTTCTGATTCCACAATAAGCATCACCTATACAACAAGATATTCAACTCACAAAAAATATCTTGTTTATACATCTTGGTTATATAAATAAAATATATCAGTCGATAAAAAGATTTCTTTTTCAGAGGATAAAATATGATTTATTAAACAAACTATAAAAACTAAAACAAGTTGTAATTACCCCCTCAAAACAACAGTTAAAGTTTTATCTTATTTGAATTTTTTTTTAAATTTACTTCTCTGAAGTTTTGTTATTTTAAATATTCTGTTCGATGTGTGAGTTGATGTGGCTTATAACACTTATATAAAACACATATACATAAAAATTAATACTAATAATTTGTTAACATTAAAACTAATTTCTTTTTTAATTTTGAAGATAAAGAAAAAAAAACCCATTCTAGTCAGAATCTAAAAAGAAAATGACTTAATTATGATTGGCTTTGTTAAAAAAAAAGAATTTTTTAAGTAAAAGTATATTTAAAAGCTCTAAATATTATTAAGCGTACCGCATGTAACACAAAATATTATATTTTAACACATACAAAAACTTATTAAAGATTTTCAATTTTATTATAAAAAAATTTAATATAAATAAGAAAAAATTTATCTAAATTGATGCATATTTCAATTGCATGGCAGAATAGTAATTTGATGTAATCAAGAGTAATATTTAAAAGTAATCAAGAATATTTTTTAAATCTAAGATAAATACATGTACAAACTTATGTGCCAAACTTTTTTTCTATCTGTTTTGAAATTGTTGCACAAATATTTGTGGCATTTCTTTTGAGAAATATATACAACTAAGATGTTTTTTAAAAACTAGAATAGTTTAGCTTTTGATATTTTATATTGCCAAACTTCAATATAAAATAATTTTTTGAAAATCCTTTGTTTGTCACAAATTATTAACTAAGGGCTAGGGAAGGGGTTGTAAATCAATTTTTTTTAAATAACAGACTATTATAAAAATCATGTTTTGGTATCTTAACATTCAATAATTATATATATATTTTTAAATTTGTAGTATTGATTCTTTTATCTATTACTTTAGGTTGCCATGCTACTAAGTATTAATATATTGCAACCTGTTTAAACCCACAACTACATTTTTCCCTAACTTTAAGATATACTTCTAACATTTGGTAATGGTTGTAATCAAAATTATCCTCACAGTCGGAAATACGTCATAATCTTTGCCGCGAACAGGTACCATTTTAGTTGGGGGAAAATGAACTTTCGTTCTGAAACAAAAACAATAGCATAACATAAAGTCTTTAAAATGCCCAAGAGTTGTTGTGTCTTTAGGTGATTTTTAATATATATATATATATATATATATATATATATATATATATATATATATATTTTATATGGTTATATTTTATATGGTTATATTTTATATATATATATATATATATATATGTTTTATAAGATAGTTTTGGTATTTTGAGTCAACTCTGGTGACTAAAATGGTTTTGTTGTTTTAAACCCACTAGTCAGACAACTTGTGTCTTCAAAACAACAGTTTTGAAGTTTTGAGTTTAACTTCGTGTGAAAAACTTCCTGCATCTAGCCAAAGCCAAAATATTTATAAGCAACTAATGCTTCGTAATTATCTATAGCCTCAAAAGAAAATATTATAGTATACTTTTTATTAAATAATTTTAAACGCCATGGTATTCAACTCATGGTCATTCAGTTTGATCATCTTTCCAAGCATTTGCAAGGAACTTGTATAAACATCGGTTGATTCCAAGGATTGCACGTTTTTTAATATACCTTTCTGCGGCATTAAAATCTAATTTTTCACGGTATTTGTAAACCAAATTTTTTTTTTAAACTCTTTAAATCACTTTTTCGTAAAAATTCTTCTGCTTTATTATCTCAACTAATTGGATGTTTACCATCTTGGATGGGGAAAACAAAGTTTTCCCCCATCCAAGATGGTAACAACTTGCGCTATTGTTATTTTGTATAACCACGTGACTTTCTGATGACGAGGATAACAGTTTTTTTGTATAATAAAGTTATTATTTTCATAGAAAAATTGAAGACAAAGTTACAACAACTTAAATGAAAACAAACAACTAAACTTTGACAACATTTTCCTAAGCAAATCCAAATATTAAAAAATTTAATTTAGATAATTGTTTTTACATTTATAATACTATCACCTTTAGAACCTCTTTCTATTGATATACAACAATCTATTATTTAGTAAATTTAAATTTCATCTCACTTACTGGTTTTAATTGATTATGATTTAAAATAATAAGAAAAACTTAATACTTGCAATCTTTTTTAATATTTACTTTAACAAATATAAATCGCAAAAAAATAAATGAAGAGGAAGAAAATCAGTATCACATATACTATGATACAAATATTCCCTTCCAAAAAAAAATTATACCTTGTTAATTTCTTGTACTGATTTACGCTTTTGTTCAGAACCTTCTATTTCCTTGATAATCCATTTAACAAAAAACTGTGTCAAATTATGATTATCGTACTTTTCTCCAAAGCATTTGTTTAGCGTGCTTTTACCAAGTTCTTGTTTTATTACTCCTGATTCTAAGATCAATTTACTAAATTCTTTTAAGAACACTTCTTTTACTTTTAAATGTTGTTTCCCAAAATCTGAAAAACTTTCCATGACCTATTAACATAATTACATCCATGATTTTTCTTCCTGATATGTCGCGTTTTATGTCACTTAAGATTGAGTTATAAATATAATTGCTTAATCATTAAATTTGTTTAAGAATTGCCGTGTAAGCAAAAAACAAAAAAAAAAAACAAAATACCACCTCGGCTTTTAACTAAATAGTGGCGAATAACATTTTATTTAACAAAAACTAGTATACAAAACACTGCTATTGACTTTTGTTTTTGAGAAATGAAATAAAAATTTCTTGTATTACATGGTCGTAGACTTAAGCAAATGGAAAGATTTCGGCCTCCTCTAGTAGCAAGACAAAAATCTCCCCGGGAAATATCGGCCTGAAAATATCCCCCTTTTCTTACAACTCGTAAAAGAAACGATATATCAATATAATAGTCGTTTTAAATATAAGTATTTTATAGTATAAAATACTTTGATTGTTTTACTTATATTGAGATTTGAATTTTAGAACCTTAATAACCTTAAAAATTACTAGTTTGTTGCCCTCGCATTCAGAGTATGGATGGTAAATGTTTTAGGGTATTTTTGTTTCTAGGCTCTAATCACCATCAGTTTTATTTCTTAACCTACGTATAAATCATACGTAAGCATACGTGGCTCTATCTCTCTCTCTTTCTCTCTCTCTCTCTCTCTCTCTCTCTCTCTCTCTCTCTCTCTCTCTCTCTCTCTCTGCAGCAATAACTTTTACTAAAAAAAAAAAAAATTTTAATATAGATTTTAAATAACGTAGTTCTTAAAATCAGTGCCGGATTAAGACTTGCAGGGTTTTGGTATATTTTTGAGTAGGTGAGTATTTTTCTTATTAAAGTGGAAAAAAAAATTTTTTAAAATAAAGCACCTTTTTCAAAATTTAGGGGCTTCTAAATCTGCGGGGCATAGAATAGTAGCCCCCATAATCCGGGACTGGTTTAAACTTCCCCTCATTAATTTTTAAATAATAAAAAAATTACCCAAAAAACATGTAAACGAACCAACAGTTATGCCAATTATGCCCTTTAAATAGTCTACCCTTTCTGAGTCTCCCATGGGTATAAACGCCTTATGCCTTATATTTCAGCTTTGTCTGAATTCTAGATTTTACTTTTTTGCATTACTGTTGTACAATATCCTCTCAAAGTTATTGTTGAATATAAGTAAGTTTATTTACTTATTTTGTATAGATTACTTTTAATTTACATTACAAATTATATAAAATGTAAGCTTACGCAGTTCAAATTTTATTTTATATAAATTATTTTTAATAAAAACTTTTATTACTTTTAAAATAAAAAATGCCGACTTAAAAAATATTCTTCTATTTGTAAATTTAATTTACATTTAGTAGCATATTACTTTTATGTAATTCATTTTCATATGCAAGTTTTTTTTACAACTACGATAATATAATTTTTTTAAATTAGTTATTTTTATAAGTAAATGTAAATTACAGTTTGAGAAACTTTTTATTATTTAATGTAATTTTTACATTTTACACAAACTTTTACATGTATAGCCTTTTCATGTGATTTTTTTTTTTACATAATGTAACCTTCTTTTACATAATTTACTTTGGTAAAAAACCTTACTTATAAAGTAAAAGTCGTTTCAAAAAAGTTAATTATTTATAGAAAAATATAAATTTAAATTAAACAATTAAAATTACTTATGTAATTTACTTTTTCATAAAAATTAACTTACTCGTGTAAGTAAAAAAAAAAATATTCATTTTTCATAAACCAACCGAAAAATGCAAGGAGTTACATTTATTGACTGACAAATAGGTAGAACGCACAAGGAGTGTAAATGAATACACAAGGAGTGTACATGCATACACAAGGAGTGTACATGCATACACAAGGAGTGTACATGCATACACAAGGAGTGTACATGCATACACAAGGAGTGTACATGCATACACAAGGAGTGTACATGCATACACAAGGAGTGTACATACATCAACTGACAAATAGGTAGGATATACAAGGAGTGTTGATACATTGACTGAGGGTTTTGGTTTGGGTAGGCAATCTATCAATTTCAAAAAAATATTTCAAAAAACAAAACATAATTTTTGCATGGGATTTATTGCAATAGTGACTTATAGCTTTGTTATTAATCTTATTTAATGGCAAGATAGAAAAAAATGTTTATGAAAGTAAAAGTGATATGTTGTTGTAATTTTTTGTTTAATTCTGTTAAAATACTTTATTCTGTTGTCACTATTTCTGAAGACAATGTTTCAAAAAAAGTGACTGTTCCATATGGAACAGGATTTTCATTGGAACTTTTCTCATTTACCTTGTCTATATTAGTGTAATATTACAAAATGACAAAGACAGCAATGTTTATTTATCACCTTTATTATTTTTATTTATTTTAATTTTGCTTTATTGTATTTATTTTTAGGTCATTTGACAGAAACAGATTTGGGCAATACACAAGCATCAATTATAAGCAAGACTTTAGTTCCATAAGACATGAGATATGTTAAAAAATGAGACATGTTAAAAAATGCTTGAGCAAAACTTAGCAAGGTAATAAAAAACGGAAAATAACCGCTCAAGCTACTTACCTCTACAAAGTTTTGTTACCTCTACAAAGTTACCTCTACCCAGCAAACATACAGTGTAATTTTAACGTTGTTCAACGTTGTACCGACTTCATAACGTTGAATTAACCAACGTTGTATTGATCCAATATTGAATTGATAACGTGTGCCCACTGAATACTTGGTTATCGTCACTTATAAAGCATAAATTTTGTAATCAAAACATCAATTTTAGTTGCAAAATTTATTAAATTTTACTAAAAAATTAATTAAAAGAAATTTAATTTTTTCTATTTAAAGACTATATTTCATTTAAATGTAACGGTTTGACAGTTTCAAACCATTTATTTTCAAACCATTATTTCTTACTTACTTTTTTACAACTCATAACGAGTTGTAGTAAAGTAAATAAGAAATAATGGGTTGAAAATAAATGGTTTGATACTGTCAAACCGTTACATTTGGGCGAAAAAAGCACCTATAAAAAACGCAACCAATACACAATTGTTCTGATATATTGATGACAATATATCAGAACAATTGTTTGATGACAATATCAAAAACCGTTTTTTGAACGTTTTTTAAAACCCCTCATCACTATTTCCTTTAGACTGAAAAAGTACCTAAAATAAACACACCTAAAATAAACGTCTAAAAAAACGCTTTCTGATATTGTCATCAAACAATTGTTCTGATATATTGTCATCAAACAGTTTTATACAAAATTTGCTTCGCTATTTCGTTCATAAATTAGACAAAATTGTCAAACTTACTTAACAAAGTGCACCAACGAGAAGGTAAGCCATAGGACTTTGCACTCCATCAGTGAGCTCTCATGTTGCCTAAGGTTAGCTCTCCATTTCTGGATTCTTTTATTTACTTAATAGGCAGTTCATGTAAAAGTAATATTAATTTTGCAAAAGCTTTTTTTTTTAATTTTTTTTTGAAATTTTAATATTTGTAATAATTTGCTGTTAAGCATAGAGATGAAAATATTGATATATAATATAAAAATATCTTTAAATTAAACAAAATTGGTTTTATATAAACAATTTTGTTTAATTTAAAGTTGTTTAATTTAAATTCAGTTATGATTCATATTATTTATAAAGATAAAAACAACTGTACTCAAATACAGTAAAAACAAATTATTGGAACATAATAATAAAAGAAATAAGATAATTACATACTACAACATTAGTCTAAATTTTTATTAAATAAAATTACCTCACAATCATAGCTACAAAAAAAAAGATCACCTTTTTCAAAATCAATGAATAAAGGAAATGACTATTGTGCACGTTCCCAAGATACTTTAAGAAAATCTTCTTCTCTGACACAATGTTATATAGAAAAACCTACAAAATCAGATGGATTGTTAATAAATTTTCATGAGAAATATTTTTTTTTGTTGCTCTATTAATTTGTTTAGTTTTGCATCCTGAATTTTTTCCATTAATTCCTTTTTTTTGCTTTTAACAGCTGCATCACGTATTATCGGAGCTTTAAATTATTACTTACTTAAAGATTGTTTGGTTTTAAAATTGCTCAAATGACAATTAGAAGATTATAATATAATTCCTCCAAAGTCAAGTTTATTTTTTTGATTCCTTCTACCTTTGTTTTGTCACATTCGACATCTAAGATTATGCGATAAAGATTTAGTTGAGAAAAGAGCACTTTTGCCTTTAATGGCTCTTTTAAATTGCAAACTGTTTCCTCTTAATTAAATCAAATTATCTTACATTTAAATTAATCAAATTATTACAAGCTGCAGTTTGTTTTTTTGTTTGTTCAATTTCTCTTCTTTGGAAAAAAAATTACGTTTTACTTTCACCGAATGGTTAGGGTGAGGGTCCAAACAGCCTATTAATAGTGGCTATTATGAAAGAAATATAAACATTAGTTAAAATAACTTGTATATTGTAAATTACAATCTCAAAAAGTAGTTATTGGATAGAATTAAGTTTAAACTATACTTTTGTTCAAGATTTGACAAATTATACTTTGTAATTAAGGAATGCAGTCATTTTTCGTTGTCTTTCCAAATGAGCCCGACAATGGGGCAAAAAAAAACAAAAATATGTGAACTGTTTTCATCAAAATATCATTTTTTTTAAAATAAATATTATAATAAAGTATGATATTAAATTTTGTCATTATGAAGTTTTTTTAAGAACATTTTCCATATTTTACTCTTACAGTTTTAGTTATTATAACAAAAACAAACATAAAATAAAAACTGTGAAAATTTAAGAGTTTAGTCTAGAATTAAAATGATTGATTATCTTCTGAAAAATTCCTCATCCTCCTTATCAAAATAATAAAAAAAACGTCCCCACTTTCCATGAGATGAGTCTTTTTTTGATAAAAACACTGTCTCTTTTTTTTGGCAAAATAAATTTTATCCCTTTTACGCGTGTCTTCCTTTTTTTTTTTAAAACAAAAACTTTCTTTTTCCACTATGGTTTTCCTTAAAATAAAATTACCTCAAAAGATGGTACTTCAATAAATGGTACCTCAATAT